AAAAATATTTGTATGTGGTCAGCTTTAAAAGCTAAGAAATACAATATAAATCTGTTAAAAAAAAAAAATAAAAGCCTAGAGAAAAAATCCAGGCACCTGGGAGGCCTCCAGGCCCCAGAGCCTTAAGCTAGCCCAGGCACCTGGGAGGCCTCCAGGCCCCAGAGCCTTAAGCTAGCCCAGGTACCTGGGCGTGGGCACTGGCGCTGTGCACTCGGCGGATGGACGTCCTCCCCAAACACCAACCAGGGTTCCACGCACAGGGCAGCTGTGACAGGTGACAGACTCCAGAGCGCCCGCTGGGCGGGGCTCCAGGAGTGTTTGTGTTTTCCTGCACAGCAAACAGAGCAGCCAGCAGCAGCTGCCGCAGTAAAGCAGACTGCTGCAGAGGGCTTCAGGCTTTCTTCGGAAAGAATTCTTGCTTTAAAAAAAAAAAAAAAAACTACACATTAGCATCAAAACGAGCCGGCGCTGGGTCCGTGTCAGAACAGGCCCAGGGCAGGTGAGTGAAGCGCCTGTGGAAGCTTCTTTTCTGCTAAAACCCCCAGCAGCAAGTGTCAGCCTGTTTCCCCGCCAGCGACAAGCAGGGCCACAGCCACGACTCCTTCCACGGCACAGCCCGATGACCCCAGCTGTCTTTCAAATACATACAAAAATGGAAAAAGAAAATTTACTTTATTGTTTTTTTCTTACCACCATGACTCCAGTGAGAAAACCAACTATTCTAACACACAAAAAAAATCCAGATGAAACTGATTTCTGGCCACCATTCTCTCCTTCCTCCTAAAGACAGCGATGAAATCCTACACTAATTATTGGGTAATGATTTACTTTATTTATAAGAAAGGCAAAGCTAGAGAGAGGGAGAGACAGACAGACAGACAGAAAGAGCGAGCAAGAGAGAGAGGGAGATCTTCCATCTACTGGTTTATTCCCTAAAAGACTGCGGCTGAGTCAGGCCAGCTTCTTCCAGATCTGCCATGTGGCTGCAGGGCCCCAAGCAACCTGGGCTGATCTCTGATGCTCTCCCAGCTGCGACATCAAGGAGCTAAACCAGAAATGGGGCAGCTGGGGCTCACACCGGCACTCGGGGAGGCTTCACCTACTGCACCAGCGCACCAGCCACCCGTCATCTCTCCACTCTAAACCACCTTCCTGGAACACAGGATTCTGCCCTGCAGCACAGGATGCGAGGTGCAGTAAGTCCCACCACACTTTGGAATGGTTCTGAGGGGCTGTTTTACCTGGAGGAGGGTGTGGGTTCAATGTCTCGCTTTGGCTTCCATTCCAGCTTCCTGCTGTGTCAGACCCCAGATGGCTTAGGCCCTGGGCCCTTGACACCCTTAGATGAGGCCTAAGTTCAATTCCCAGCACCCTAGCTTGGGCCAAGTCCAAGTCAACAGATGGAAGCTTTCTATATGTCTGTGGATAAGAGAAAGAGACCTCCCAACTACCTGCTGGCTTGCTCCCAGATGGCAGCAACAGCAGGAGCTGGGCCAATGGGAAGCCAGGAACCAGGAGCTTAATGTGGGTCTCCAGTAAGGGGACAGGGGCCTGAGCACTTTGGCCATCCTGCTCTGCTTTCTCAGGAACATTAGCAGGGAGCTGCGTCGGAAATGGGGCAGGCAGGAATTGAACTAATAGGATACTGGAGTTCCCCAGAGGCAGCTGAGCTGGCTGTGCCAGGACGCCAGCCCAGCCTCTCAAATAAATAAAGACATAAATAATTTTGAAAACAGGTACTTAGGCAAGGCACCATCTGCATCAGCCATGAGACAGAGCAGCATGGTTCAGTGTTTTAAAAGCAACATGCTTTCAACAGCATCCATCAATAGCACACTGGGAGAAAGGCCAAGTTCACTGGGCAGCTCCTGTTTTGATGCAAGGTCATAAGGAAGCTAGCACAAACCCCTTCTGCAAACAGAAAACCCACCCGGAACCCAGGGGCTATGGGGTGGGCACGCGACTCCACACATGGAAGCAGAAAAGCCAGAGGGAGAGTGGCTGGCTGTGTGGCATCTGTGCGGGGCTGGGAACCTTTCATCGGCCACGGGTCCTCTGGATATCTCTAAGATCTTTTCATGGGCCATTTGAAATTATTATTATGGCCTGGGAAAGCAGGAAAGGACGGCCAAAGCCTTGGGGTCCTGCACCCGTGTGAGAGACCCAGAGGAAGCTCCTGGCTCCTGGCTTCAGATTGGATCAACTGTGGCCGATGTGGCCATATGGGGAGTGAGTCAGCAGACAGATCTTTCTTTCTGCATCAACTTCTCTCTGTAGATCCAACCTGCCTTTCCAACAAAAACAATTAACTCTTAAAAAACAAAAATGTTTCATGAGTACGCAGTACTAACGCCACGTCACGCAGTCATCAGACAGAGGACAGTCGCTGCACAAAGGGAGGCGCACTCCTGCGGGAAGGACGCAGACCACAAGGTCACTCTGTGACCCGATGTCCCCTCGGGTGTCTCCAGTGGCTTCCCCAACATCCTACGATGTCACGTCCCTCGAGGGAAGCTCAGTGCGATCAGCCCCATTCAACAGTACACCTGACCAGGAACACTGGCTGCCGGGATATTATTGCATGTGTGTCTCAGCTACCTGTCATTTCTTCCATCAAGCACTATAATTTCTGATCAAAAAGGGAAGAGTATGCCAATGCAGATACAACTGTCTATATAAAAAAAGACCTGTGATTACCAGTGAGTAAACAAGACAAAACAACTCAATCATTATGCAGGCAAAGGAACACGAGGGTGAGAGAAGGAAGCCTCCATCTGCGTCAGTGGCATCCCATAGTGGCGCTAGTTCTAATGCCAGCTGCTCCACCTTCCCATCCAGCTCCCTGGGCCAGGGAAAGCACCCACACAGGGGAGCTGGAGGAAACTCCTGACTCCTGGCTTTGAACAGGTCCAGCTCTAGCTGCTGTGGCCATTTGGGGAGTGATCTGGCTGACCTTTCTCTAACTCAGCCTTTTGAATGAATACATAAGAATCCAGGGGCAGGAGGGCGTGGGAGCAAAGGCACATAGGTGGGATTCCAGGATAAGCAGTTAGATAGCCTAGGGAAACAGTTTTCTAAGGACAGAAAGAAAGGCAGGTGCCAGAGTCCTGGGAGAGGTACACGCTGCACACGGAGGACGGTGGCTGCAGGGGCGGACCCCAGTGGCAGGTGGCCAGCCCCGTGGGCTTCCCACACTAAGATTTGCTCCAGAAATACAGCTTTCTACTGGGAGCTGCACGGGTGGGGCAGTGGAAGGTCAGTGAGGAGGCGGGCGGCAAGGATCAAGGCAGCAAACAGGAAGAAGACATAAAGCTCGGCAAGGTCGGGGGACGGTCAGCAAGCCGTCCAGGCTCGCGTATTTACTTAATCGTCGTAGGAGGCACTTGTCCTCTGTGCTGAACTCAGGAGGGGGGCTTTGCTCTGCTCGCTGGTTCTTTTCCATCACGTGAGGGAAAGCATCTTCCTTAATGAATGGTCTTAAGCAGAGGACGGCTCCCAGGGTAGGGGCAGGGCTCTGCCGCAGGTCTCCCTTAAACTCAGCATCACCAAAAATAGCTTGGGAGCGGGGCAGTGCCAGGCCCCCAGCATCCCCACGCCCTGTTCCCTGGGCCAGAGCACAGTACACCCTCCACCAGCCCAGCCCACCCGAAGGTATGATGGGCATTGCTGGGGTACAGCTCTTATTGTAACAAGCAATGTGACATCTCCACCTGCCTTTTTGTAACCAATGGACGGATAGCTCTTCCTCAAGGCACCAAAGTCTTGTGCTATCAACCTGCAATTTGGCAAGCACCGAGCTCAGATAGTAACAGCTGCTGCTCTGTCCTCTGGGGCATTGCTCCTCATCCTCCACTCCTCAAGGTGAAATGCTGAACATTAGGTAACTACTGAGAAGTTTTTTCCCTGGGTCCCAGGCATGAGCACATGAGATATTCCTTTCAAACACTCCCGTGGAGGGGCTGGCACTGTGGTATACTGTGTAAAGCTGACACCCACAGTGCCAGAATTCCATATAGACACTGGTTCAAATCCTGGCTGCTGGACTTCCAAACTAGCTCCCCACTAGTGCATCTGGGCAAGACAGTGGAAGACGGCTCCTATAGTGCCATGGAAGACCCAGATGGAGCTCCTGGCTTCAGCATGGCCTAGCACTGGCCTTCACAGCCATCTGGGGCACCGAACCAGATGAAAAAAAATACCTCTTTTTCTCTCTTAGCTCTAGACTCAAAATAAATTAAATCTTAATTAAAAGGTAGATAGATGAATGCTCTCACGGCACCTGTATGAGTGTACTCCAAAAACTTGGTGGGAAATAGGTTGACAAGTCGCAGCTCCTTTTCCATGACCTTTTGAAGGCCCCTCCCCACCCCAGGGCTGTGACTTGGGTCAACTCACATAAACGCAATGCAATAATCATTTTCTCCGTTCCTCCATCAGATCCCCCAGTGTTGACAGGAGTAACACTTGTCTTGTTGGCACTGAAGGTGGCTCCAGATTTGCACTCAGAAGGCCAGGACCAGCCAAACGTGCTGGATAAGCCATCCGAGGAAAGCTACACTGATGGGGCCTGAAGCTGAACGAAGGCACGATCGCCCCCTTCAACTGCACTGGGAGTGCATGTTGTCCTTAACAACCCAAACTGGGAAGAGACGGCAGTGAAAGAGCCGAGAGGCAGCCAGGCCTTCTCTCCGGCTTTGGAATCCCTTGACAAGCACTTGTTTTAACACTGTCTTTGCACACGGTACATCTCACACCCATGGCTCTGCCTCTTCATGCTTGCTCTCCTTCTATCCTCAAACACAGGACACTCAGGCCACTCCCTGGGGGCCACAGCTGAGCCTTAGGCATGCAGGGGGCCCAGGGAGACATCCTCACAGACCCATAGGCACAGCCCAAAAACAGGGGAGTGCCCAAGATGGCAAGTGCATTACCAGACAAGTTGGGTATGTCCCAGGGACAGCCCCATCGTGCTTGGTCCATGGAACACACACACATCTTACCGACTTCCTCTCCTGCTTCAGTTCCTGCACGTAGCGGGCCAGGTCCACCATGATCTGTGCCGTCATGTTCTCGGAGATGACCTCATGCTGCCCCGCGTAGTCATTCATCTCATTCAGGGTGGAGAGGAAGGCTTTACAGGATGTGTACCTGCAGGACACAGCACAGCCACGTGCATTGTCACACATGGCCCACAACGCCTGCTCCTGGCACCGCTCTGCACCCCAGGGAGAACCGGCTCCAAAACCAGGTTAATGTGCCCTGGACTCCCGTGGGATCTGAGGGATTAATCACACACTCCGGGCTCAGCCACAATCACAGCAGGGCCACCTACCCTGGGAGACCACACCGCTCACCAGGGTGCGATGCCTGGCTCGGCTACTGCTTGGTTCAAACAGAGCCGAGAACACACGCATGCTGTATGTGCTGATGTGAGCGCAGACACCACCTCCGCACCTGGCGGAGATGGACCCGAGTCTAGGGTGGATGGGTAACGTGACTGCTCTCCTGAGACTGCCAGACTAAACTCAGACTCATGGATTCACAGCCCATGGCTCCTGCATGTGCTCCCAGCAGATGCTAAACCTCTTTATTTGCAGTCCTCTGGGCTGCAGGCTACAAAGAACAAACTGAGAGTCGTTTTTACTGTTCTGACCCAAGGTGTAGCATTGTGGTACAATCGATCAAGCCGCTGCCTGTGACACTGGCATTCTACTGGGGGGCACCGGTTTGAGTCCTGGCTACTCCGTTTTGGATCCGACTCCCTGTTAATGTGCCTGGAACACAGCAGCAGACGGTCCCGTTTCTCGGCCCGTGCCACCCACATGGGAGACCAGGATGGAGTTCCAGGTTCCTGGCTTCGGCGTAGCCCAATCCTGATGCTTGCTGTCATTCGGAGATAGACAAGCTATTTTTCCCTTTCTCTCCCTTTCCCTCTCCATCATTTGGCCCATCAGATCAACACCTTAAAATAAGTGCAAGACATGAATTGCGAACACACACACTGTGCATGTCTCTTCACAGCTTCTGCCAGCAGCGCCTACACGTTACCGCAGGAGCACCCCCACCCAACGAACGTACTTGTACTCCTCTTCCTCCTTCGAGTTCTTTTTAGGCTGGTATTTCTTCGAGAGATTCCTGAAATAAAAACGCCGACGTGTCACCTCACACACAAAGGCGGCTGAGAAACCAAGGCAAGTCAATGCTTTCCTTTGGCGTGTCCCTCCCCTGCCCCACCGCCCCACTACCCCTCCACTGCCCCGCCGCCCCGCTGCCCCTCCACTGCCCTGCTGCCCGCTGCCCCTCCCCTGCCCCACCGCCCCACTACCCCTCCACTGCCCCGCCGCCCCGCTGCCCCTCCACTGCCCTGCTGCCCGCTGCCCCTCCCCTGCCCCACCGCCCCACTACCCCTCCACTGCCCCGCCGCCCCGCTGCCCCTCCACTGCCCTGCTGCCCGCTGCCCCTCCCCTGCCCCACCGCCCCACTACCCCTCCACTGCCCCGCTGCCCCTCCACTGCCCTGCTGCCCGCTGCCCCTCCCCTGCCCCACCGCCCCACTACCCCTCCACTGCCCTGCTGCCCGCTGCCCCTCCCCTGCCCCACCGTCCCGCTGCCCCTCCCCTGCCCTGCTGCCCGCTGCCCCTCCCCTGCCCCACCGCCCCACTACCCCTCCACTGCCCCGCCGCCCCGCTGCCCTCCCCTGCCCCGCTGCCCCTCCCCTGCCCCACCGTCCCGCTACCCCCCCCCGCCCCACTGCCCCTCCTCTGCCCCACAGCCCCACTGCCCCACTGCCCCCGGTTGCCCCCACTGTTCCAGCCCTGCACGGCTCTTCACCCCAGCCCCCTAGGCAGACAAGTTCAGGAGGCTTCCTGACTAGCAGCACTGGGATTTCAGAACTGTTCCTGCTGAGATGTGTAACCAGGAAAATCTTTTACAAATCTAATTTACTTGAGAAAGGAAGAAGGGGGAGGGGAGGGAGAGAGAGAGGGAGGGGAAACAGAGCAAGAGCTCACTTCCAAAACGGTCCCAACTCCAGGGCAGAGCGGGAGCCACAGCCTGGAGCTCCTCTGGGCTCTCCCACGCAGGTGGCAGGCACCCAAACACCAGAGCCGCCCCTTGGCCTTCTTGGGGCCACACAAGCAGGGAGCTTGACTGAGAGGTGGGTACAGGCATGCAGGCACCGGCCCAGCGGCCTTTCTACTGAGGGGACCTACAAGCTGCTCACAGGAGTGTTCAGAGTCCACTGGGCTGAGCCCAAACCCTCCTGGCTTCCGGCCCTGGTTCCACCTCCAGGTTAGGAAGCCAGATGTCAGGACCACATCCAGCATGCCTAAGGACACGCAGGGACCAGGAAGTGATCCTAAGAAGAGACAGCAGCCTCCACTGCCCTCCTGGCTGACCTCTCACTCCACTGACCTCAGGCCACCAGTGGGAGGTAAGAGGGGCCTGCAGGGCTGGCGCCTCAGGCTCCACTTCCTTGTGGCTGTTCCTCTTTACTAGGTGTCTTTAGGATGTCACATTTTACTGCAGTTGCTTCCATTTCCCTGAAACCTACAGTCACCTAAATGCACTGCCTCTTACAAAGGAAGTGAACTCCGGGTGTATCTTCAATGTGAGGAGACGCACAAGGACCATGGACTTGAATATAAGGGACGCTGCTATGGGAATCAAAGAGGCCGTGTGCCCGCCTAACCTCAGGCAAGTCTATGCACCCAGCTCCTCGCCTGTGAGCTGGACAGGGCATGGACAACATGCCGCCTGCTGCCCCTTTTGGGGTCAAGCTCTGAGGGGCTGTCCATTCTCCACTGGAAGATACTCCAACAATTCAGATGATTTTTAAAATGTAGACACAAATATAGAGCATTCTAGAAATTAGTAGACGGACTGAGGAAAGAAGCTGTAAAAATGTGACCAATGATGCAACCTCATGGCACACCAGACTAAGCCACTGCCACGAAACTGGCATCCCAGATGGGCATGGGCTCGAGTCCCAGCTGCTCCACTTCTAATCCAGCTCCCTGATTAATGGCTTTGGAAGTTAGTAGAGGATGGCCCAAATATTTGGGTCTCTACACCCAAGCGGGAGACTTGAAAGAAGTTACTGGCTCCAACCTAGCTCAGCCTCAGCTGTTGAAGCCACTTGGGGAGGAAAGACCTTTCTCTTTCTGCCTTTGTCTCCCCCTTTCAGATGGAAGGAAGGGAGGGAGGAATGAGCAACATGTGACTGGGCACTGAGATCTATTGACCAGGCAGCTTTGCCCTGTGGCTGTGCACACAGAGTTTATCTGAGGACCCAGACACAGAAAATGTGAGAAAGCCAGTTGTCCTTCCAGCATGGGGAAGTGGCGGGGAGCGGACTGACGCCACAGGGACAGCCAGATGTTGTTGTAGACTCCTGGCTTCAGCCTGGCTCAGCTACAACCACAGGGGCCATTTGGGCATTGAATCTACAGATGCAGTCTCTCTCTCACTCCAACTCTGTCTTTCAAACAAATAAATCTTTCCCCACAAAACCCAAAACAAACTGGAGAGATGAAATAGGAACAACAAGACCACCGCAAGGTGCAGAGCAGAAGGGGCGCGAGCTGACAGACCTGGCAACTTGCTGTAATTCAGATATAACATACATTAAAAAAAAAAAACTGTTTAAAACTGTTATGTGGAAGGTTCAACATTTGGGCAAAGGCTACTGGCTAATGGCCATCCTGCAAGCGCCAGCATCCCACACAGACACGGGTTCTTGTCCAGGCTGCTCCACTTCCCATCCAGTTGCCTGCTTGTGGCCTGGGAAAGTACAAGTGGATGACCCAAAACCTTGGACCGCTGCACCACGTGGGAGACCCGGAAGAAGCCCCTGCTCGCAGCTTTGGGTCAGCTAACCTCTGGCCACTGCAGCCACTTGGGGATGTTTTCTCTCTGTCCCTCCTTCTCTCTGTAAAACTGCCTTTCCAATAAAAAGAAATAAATCTTCAAAATAAATAATGTTTACATGGAGCTGAAGGAGATAAAGCCTGAATCGATCTAAGTGAACCAGAGCTTGTGCAGAGATTCAGGATCTGAGGCCGGAGCCCCTGCTGGCCCTGCTCCACGCACCCCTGCTGGCCCTGCTCCCTGCACTCATGCTGGCCCTGCTCTCCACACCCCTGCCCACACCGGGCATTCCTCCTGCGCCCCAGAGGGCGGATGAATAATTCACTCACAGACGCCAGCAGGAGCCACAGGCCTGCTGCCTTCCTCCAGCCCTGCTCATGTGGAGGGAGGAGCTCAGCATCCGGCAGGCAAATAAATTGCAGAGAACATACTTTTTAACTTGTCATATAATCTTACTATTCCATAAATGAAAAAAAAATCATCTTTGATCAGTTTGAAAAACAGAGGAGAGAGATCTTTCACTTGCTGGTTTAGTCTCTCCATGCTGACAATGGAAAGATCAGACCAGGCCTGGAGCTAAGTCAGGTCTCCCCACAGGGGCGGCAGGGCCCCAGGTCCTCGAGCCATCACTACTGCCTGCAGAGGCATGCACGAACAGGGCCCCGTGCGTTCCTCTGCGGGGCACAGGCGTCCCAGTGGGAGCTCAGGTTCTGCCGTGTGTACACTCGGTCTGCACACGCAGGGGTCTCTCCCAGAGACTCAGCCTGCCGCCCTGGAGGACCAACCAGGCCAGGGGCGAACGCAGCAGCTCGGCCTGCTGTCAGTCCCCTGCAGGCACAGATCTTTTTCTTCCCCTAACTTTTTGTTTTCCTTGAAAATTCCACATGAAGCTGGCAGAATCAAACTCAGAATCGGAGAATTTGGCTTTTCTAAACCCAAAAAGTGAGACACAAAAGGCCAGGAACCCTTTAAAATGGCCCCACCCCACAGTCTGGAAAGGAGACTAGGCTGGACAGGGAGAGGGACCCAGACTCTGGGGGCCCCGTCCTCCTGGTCCCAAAAAAGGGAAGTTAAGTCCACACCCTGAAAATGCGATCCAGGAAAGAGAACCGGGGAAGACCCCAATCCCACCTGAGGGACCCATAGACCTGGGACGGGTCCACCTGGTGGACCTCCACTGACTGCCTGGGTGCAGGGCAGGGGGCAGTCACAGCCGTACCTAGAGTGTCCCACAGGACTAGAAGAGCGTGTAGACCAGAGAAGGCCCCCGCCCCAGAACAGGGCCATGAGCTGAGTTGTTTCAGCCTGCCTCCCAAAACCACCTGCCCTGAGCTTCCAGCAACCAGCGCAGAACACACAATGCTCCACTCCCACAGGGTGGTCACGGGAGGCCACGTGCCAGGCTGGGGTACATTCACGACCCCCTATCAAGGGAGCTGCTGTCACGACCACTACTCAGGGTTTGCAGACGAAAAGGATGATGCATGGATGGCAAAGGGCCCCAAGCATCCACCCAGGGGAACGAGCAGGAGAGCCTCCCTGGGCACTGGGAGCCAGTCCCCAGCCACCCGGTTCCAGAGAAGCAGGATATAAAGATGAGTAACTCATGTAAAAGGATGACAGGAGCCCGAGGGGCGAGAACGGGCAGGCATACCCACCAGAACCCTCCCAAGTGTCTTCCGCTGTGGACAAACCTGATACAAGACAAAGCAGGTACCCCCAGACCACAGGACGTGGGAACGGAATGGGAGGAGAAGGGAAAGACGGAGCGCAGGAAATGAACTCTGGACTAAACACTGCAACCGGAGAAACTAAGACATGAACCAGACTCAACAGCTTATTCATGCAAGGAAAGGCTTCCCTAGTAACTCAGTACAGGAAAACAATGACCCTATCGGGGGAGGAGAGGCAGGGCTAAACCAAGAGAACAAGAAAGGGCTGAAGTGTAGAGCCAAGCAAAGGGGCAGAAATTACACTCAACAGTCACACAACTGGCCACCCCGAGCAGAGCACCTGACTGGCCACCTGCCTCTGGTCCCGCCGCTGCCCCGCTGAAGCACAAGGTGGCCCACATGCAAGACCTGGACTGAGCTCCTGGCTCCGGCTTTCAGCCCTGGCCCAGCCTCAGCTGTTGTAAGCTTTAAGGAAGTGAGCTATGGACAGGGGCAGGCTCTGGTGAGCACTCTCACCCTCAGCTTCTAAGAAGTGGAAGGGAAATGATCAGAAGAAGCAACAGCAAAGCCTTCGGGGCTGTGACCACGCCAACAGGAAGGGCAAGGAGTTCTTCACGCGTGTCCTCAGCAAACACCATGAAACAGTTGAAGTAAAATAAAATCCTTCCAGTCTGCTCGCCGCCCAGGCACTGGGGAACCCACTCCACACCGTGTCACTCAAAAGAGGATGAGCTCACTTAAAATTGCAGAGTGGGAACTGAAGCCACGACAGAGCCAGTCCCGGCTGCTCCACTTCCCTCCAGCTCCCTGCTAATGTGCCTGGGAAAGCAGGGAAGATGGTCCTAGTGCTTGAGTCCCTGCACCTGTATGGAAGACCCAGAGGAGGCTCCTGACTTCTGTAAGCCATTTTTGCATAAATCTTGCAAAAGTCTAACGTCAAGTTCAACAAATCCTTCAGCCCACTGCGATGTGTTTAAAGCTGTGTAAGTACACTCACACCTATACACCGGACACCTAAGACAGGCAGAATCCTCCAGCAACTGTTCTCACCAGTTACCATGCACATATGCCTAACTGGAATGGCGCTCCTCAAGATACCCCAAGTGTTACTACCTTGGGGTACTTGTGTTTGATTCCTGGCTATCACTCCTGGGGGGCAGTGTCTCTGGTTTCACTGACAGTATCCCTGTCCCTGCCATGGGAGACCTGGATCCAATTCCAGGCTCCAGTCTGGGGCCTCCAGCCCAGTCCCAGCCCTTGTAGGCCACAGCCAGTATATACAGTAAACTCCCAGAGTTGCTTCCAAGGGGCAGCGTCCATGGCTCCGAGTGTGAGAAGCTTGGTCTGTGCCATTCAGGCCAAGAGAATGCAAATTAACCCCAGATGGACCAAAGTGGAAGTCTCAAGTCAGCAAAACGTCACAGTCATTGGTAACAGAAAGCCCCGGGGCCCATGAGCAAGGCAGGCCAGGGCCCATGAGCAAGGCAGGCCGGGGCCCAGGCTGCTGACTGGGAAAGGGCTGCAGCCTCCAAGGTCAGAGGTTTTTGCACGCAGGGTCAGAGGTCCTGGATGTAGGTACTTGACCTCCAGGTAGGCCCAGGTCCCTAACCTGACACTGCACACAGCCGGAAGCCATCATAATTCCTGCAAAGCTATGCCATGGGAGATCAGGAAACTGCAGAAATTCACAGGAACTCTGGGAACAGCAGAGCCACTGGAAGGCAAGCAAGAAAACCCTCACACCCGCCTCGGATCTCTCCGGAAGCAGGCAGCCCTGGCTGTCCCCTGGGAGGGGAGCCTCTGGCCAGGGCCGGAGAGGACACAGCACTGCTAGCTGCGCCGTCCCTCCACAGTCAGCAGAGGACTCTCCCAGCAAGGTCCTCTGTGCAGCTGTAAACCTGACACAGGAGTTTAAGCCAATGCACACACAGGGCCAGACTTGACAGGGCTGTCACACAGGACCTGAGGGTGACTCCTGTGACTTGGTGACCACACAGAAGTACACATGGGCATGACTGCGACACCAGGCCTTGATCTATGAAAGCCAAGTAGTGGGTGGATTTCACCCCTAGTCAGTCTGCCGAGCCCTGAACCCCCAGGACTCCAAGTTCTACTTACTGCCTTCTGCATCTCCAAGAAGTCAGCATTCCTCACCCACTAACACAACAGGTGACACAGCATGTTAAGCTGCCACTTAAAGGGTCCCCGTGCGTCATGCCAGAGCACCTGTTAGAGTCCCGGCTGCTCTGCTTCCACACCAGTTCTTGCTAGTGCACCTGGGACAGCAATGGATCATGGCTCAAGCACTTGGGGCCCTGTACCCACATGGGAGCTCCCAGTCTGGCATTTGTGGAGTGAATCAGCAGATGGGAGATCTCTCTCTGTGACTGTCTTCCAAATAAGTAAACAAATAACTCCTCCGGAACCCAGAAGTGGTTAGGAGTCGCCTGTGGGAGTCGGCTGCAGCGACAGCGTCAGGTAGCCGGCTGGCTTCTGATCATGCATCTGGGGAGGCAGCAGATGACAGCACTGGTGCTGTCACTCACATAGCCAACTCAGATGGAGTTCCCGTCTTCTAGCCTGGGCCCAGCCGTGCCTGCTATGGGCATCTGAGGAGTGAACTAGCAGTCAGAAAATCTCTCTCCCCTTATCTGCTTTTCAAGTAGATAGGAAAAAAAATTTTTTTTTAAATGCTACGCTATCGCCTGGCTCATTTTCAACCTCTGGCTCCTGGGTTCAGTCCCTGGCCCAGCTCCCAGAGCCAGCTTCCTGCCAATGCACACTCTGGTACAAAGACAGATGGCTCGTGCAGTTGGGATCTCCACCACCCATGTGGGAGGCTCGGATCGAGCTCTTGCTCCTGGCTTCAGTCTAGCAGCCCACACTAGTCACTGTGAAGATTCAAGGGATAAGGGGACTCCAGGCATCTGCTTGTTTTTCTTGCTGAAACAGTTCTTTCCACGCACTTTCTAAGGCTACCTCCCAGGAGAAGTGATGCACCTGTTTCCTAACTGACTTAGCCACTCAGCATGCTTACAAGCTGACCACATTGCAAAATGTATCGTTTTCCCCATAAATAAATAAGTAAAAGAAGGAAGGAAGGAAGATATCAGAGAGCTTTTAGGGAGGTGGAAGAGTGGGGGGTCACGGAAGTGGGGTGGCCATCCTGAGCAGGCACAGGAAGTGGGAGGGGCTGCCCACAGGGAACCTAGGGGAAGACCCTGTGGACTCAGCATGCCTGGCGTGCACAGGAAACGGCCGAGGGCAGAGGGGACAGGGAACCCGGCCTGCGGGTTTTCCAGAGAGCTACTGTCGCCATGTCAGGTTTATGCAGGACAGGGGAGAAGAAAGCGGGAAATGGAGGGAAAGAGAAAGTGGGGACCAGGTCAGGACAAGCAATGTGAGCCAGGGGCTCGTGAAGGCTTGCAGTGTCAACAGCCAGTTGGGGTCAGGGGACGCAGTGGGAGTGTTAGGAAGGGGCTTGGGCATTCATCCGGAAGGGAAGTGGCCTCGTGGCTGGCGGAGTGTGACGGAAAGAGGAACGAGGAGGAGGTGCACAGAGGAAGAGGCTCCAGGCCCGGGATCAGCTCAGCTTCGGCCGTTGCGGCCATTTGGGGAGTGAACCAGCAGAAGGATCTTTGTTTTTCCTTCTCTCTGTAAATCTACCTTTCCGATAAAAACAAATAAACCTTTAAAAAAAGATTATTCATTCGGAAGAGTTACAGAGACCTGTCACCTTCTGACTCACTCCCCTGAATGACTACAATGACCAGGGCAGGGCCAGGCCAAAGTCATGAGTCAGGGGGCTCCTCTGGGCTTCCCGGGGGCGTGGGGACCAAGCACTCGGGCCATCCTTTGCTGCTTTCCCAGGTGCACTGACAGGAAGCTGGACTGCAAGTGGAGTGGCCAGGACTTGAACCCACAACCATATGGGATACTTATGATAGTGTAGCCCACTGTGCCACAACCCCAGACCAACCTACGCCAACACTGAAGTCGCAGGAGAAAGGCCATCAGAGTGCTTACGTGGTATCCGGGGTCAAGCTGGGGGACAGAGTGGCCGGTAGTGCCACTGGGTGTAGACCTGGACCTATGTGGTGTCTATAGGCTGGTCACCTTCTGCCTGGTCACCTAAGTCGTCAGGACTCCCGCCCAGCCACCAGGCTGCTGGCTTCACCACAACTCCCCACTCCTGGTGGTCCTGGAAGCTTCCACTGAGACTCCTTCAGACCTCAAGGGCGGAGCCATGCAAGAGGGAAGCAAGCAATGACTTTCGCCTGTGGGTGTGTGACCCATTTCCACATTTTATGAGATAAACCGGTGTGATACTTAAACAACCAATGAGGCAGAACACAAAGACATCTCCTTATCTGTTCTGACAGCCTTCAAGTCTGGTGCCGGCTTGGGAAAGAGCAGCAGCATCCTAGACACACTCTGAGGACTAAAGCTCTATGTGTAGGTCTTTTCATTAGCCCTAAAATCCGCACAAGCCAATTCAACTGAGAGTTTGCATGCTACTTCTGGCTTAAGTTACAGTATTTTCTACCCGAAACGCGAACTCCTTGGATAATTTCATCCCTGCTGACTTAAGGTGCCCTCAAGGACTTTGAAAACTCTGCCACCTCTACCTGCTAAAGGGACAGCCCAGGACCCAGCAATTCCATGCCTAGGAATACACTACGGGACCCATGGGGCTCACCAAAAGCTTACATGAGCTTTCCAGAAAAGAGACAACCAGTCACCTAGGGACCCTGGGATGGCCAAGCTAAGGGTCACTCGCAGGAGACTGAGTGATACTAAGGGTCACTCTGGAGGCTTAAGAACAATGAAAGTCATCTCCACCCCCACATACAGAGGAGGAAGGAGGACTCAGGGCAGAGGCCACTCCCGGGCAAGCAGCGGGGTGGACGCAGGCCCCGCCCCAAGGCGTCTCCCTTTCTGCTTGACTGTAAGGCTGGTCAGAAACGTGGGTGTGCTCCCCTGCACAGTGCGCAGGCCTGCATACGTGCCGGGTTCCAACGCAAAGCCTGCTAAGAGACGGCTCTGGAACGCAGCAACTAAAACGGGGCCGCCCTTGCACCGACACAGAAACTAGCCACGCCTGAGGAGCCGGCTCGTCTCACGGCGACCGCTCCAGAAGGCTTTGACTTTCTACACGTAAAAGAACCGTCTCACTCAACTAGAAGGGGGTAACTGCAAGGACTGCCCCCTAGAGCGGACACGTCACCCTTTCCACGACCAACTTACCTGAGCTGCTTTGCATAGCTGAGCTCAATCTCTGTCCTCTCCTTCACAAATTTGATGTATTTCTCAAGAATATCAATGCCCCACTGTGTGTGCTTCTCTAGGTTGTCAAACTGGTCCTGTTGGGGGAAAGAAAAACAACAAAAAGGGAGTTTATGGTTTCTCTCCGAGATGAGCCCGATTCCAGGAACACTCTCAACAAGACCAGCGCCACACAGAGCAGTACTAACATTTTCCATGCTAACATCGCGTGGCGCCTTTGTCTTACAGCCCGTTTTGAATCAACATGACCAAATTTGGTTTGAAAACTGCCGGGAGTCCTGAACTCTGACCCACATGTTCATGTTTCCCATTCCTTTGAGAAAGATGGTTTTGTGGGGATTTAATTTACGTCCCAGTGCAGCACAAAATGTCTTTCCCAGATGCGAACAGGTGAAACACGTGCGTGAACACACACGCACGCACACACACACACACACACACACACACGTGTGCATGAGTCAGCTGCGCTGTCAGCACCTTAACGGTCACTTCCAGGAAGTCCCTCTCAACAGCTGACAAAAGCTGGGGCTAAAAAGTGGGAGTGGGGAGGAGGAGGAAGAATTATAAAAGCCTGTTACTGGGCAGCATTGAGATGTCACAGGGTAAGCCACAGCCTGCGATGCCAACATCAGCACCCATTCGTGTCCCAGCTGCTCCACTTCCAATCCAGCTCTCCTTGCTCACGTGCCTGGGAAAATGGCGGAGGAAGGCCCAAGGGCTTGGGCCCCTGAACCCACGTGCAAGTCCCAGAAGGAGTTCCAGGCTCCTTGCTTCTATCCACTATGGCCATCTAGGGAGTGAACCAGCAGCTGTAGGCTCGCTTTCCCTCCGTCACTCTGCCTTTCAAACAAATAAAATCAATCTTAAAAAACACCTGGATTTTTTTCCCATGAATAAAATAACTCCCAAGGCCCCTGCACACTCACACAGTGAGCGAGGCTCACACAGTGTGCTCACAACAGTGCTTCCAGCTGGTAAGCCAACAGGAACAGGAACCCAGCTCAACTGGCAGGTAGCCTGAGGCACCTGCCCTGGAGAATCAGGTAAGGCCAGGGCACCAGGTGTCCAGGGTAAAGGACCACATGGGCTGAGACAACCTTAAGCTGGCCCACCCGAGGGCCCCAGCGGCGGCCCTGAGAAATGCTGCCTGCCCAGGAGGCTAGCAAGGGGAACAGTGAGACCCAGGAGCCCCATGACTGTCCCCAAGGCCCAAGGACACACTCTGGGAGAAGAGAAGGACATCACACACAAACTCTGTCAATCCCAGGGACAACAGGACGCAGACAGAGAGGGGCCCTCAGGCCTTTGACCACAGCTGGTACAGATGGACGCTGGCTCATCCGGACAGAGAGCTGGACCCGCCATGGCAGAGGCGCACAAAGCCTGGGGCCCAGGAAGGAACCCAGAGGGTGACGTGGCCAGGAGCCAGAGAGCCGGTGAGCTCATCCAAGCCAAGGGAGAATTTCAGGGGGAGGTCCAGAAGGAAAGTTGGCCACCTCCCAAGAAGCCCCAGGAGATTCAGGTTTGAGCCCAGGGAAGGGCCCGTGACAGAGCTGGCCACAAGCTCCGCACAGCTCTAGTCATTTGCCTAAATGATGCAGATAGAACAGATCAGTCATGAGGTGCATGCAAAACAGGGAAGTGCCAAGTCAGACCCAACAGCACCAAGCCGCCCTTTAACCCACCACACCACAGCCCACACCAACACCACAGGTCAGCCTGCTGTTGAGAGGTGAATAGAGAAAGATCTTCCATCCACTGGTGCACTCTCCAGTCAGCCACAAAAGCCAGGTCTGGGCCAGACAAAACTCAGCAACCAGGAGCTTCTTCTGGGTCTCCCTTGTGGGTGCAGGGGCTATCACCTGCTGCTCTCCCAGGTATGTTAGCAGGCAGCTGATGGAAGTGGAGCAGGTAAGACTTGAACCTGGGATGCCGCTGTGGCAGGTGTTTGCTCATCCTGTATTACCACCACAGCGAGCCCCTAGCTTCCGCTTGTCTTAAGCCACTTTCTTGAGCGGTGACTGACAGAAAAAGGTGTACATGTTTAATATATACAACAGGATGAGTTTGTAGTATACACCCATGAAACTATAACCATCATCTACTCCACACACAGGTCCTCCTTGCACTCACTTCCTTAACACGAGCTGCAGCCTTCTCGGGACCTTTGTAAGGATTCACTTCAGGTCCCGGGCCTTGAGCCGCTATTCCACCTTGCACCTCACCTCCACAGTGCTGCACCTCTGCTTCGCGCTCCGAGCAGTGCAGACATGTGCACTGTCCGTCCACTCCCAAGGCAAGCTCGAGGGACAGCAGCCAGACGAGGGGAGCGTCCAGCACGCTGAGAGGTCCTCTGTGAGGACAAGGTCCCTCCCCGCCCGGATGCTCAGCCACAGAACACTCACCGAGATGACTAGCAAACCACCAAGCAAGCTCTCCCATTACTAAGATGATTCTCCAACTGGAAACTGTCCCTTACAGCACAGCGGGTTAAACAGACATACATTTTTCAAATAAATGCACCTTTCCAAAACAGTGTCTCCTTGACAACTTGCTGCAGAGGCATCCTCAGCCCTCACTCGGGTCCTGGGGTCCTATTTTCTCCTAGGATACCAAGGTGCAGCTTGATACAGACAGCACAGGAACAGCGCTGTGACACTAGCATCCCACACAGGCAACAGTTTGAAGCCCTACTGTTCTACTTCGGATCCAGCTCCCTGCCGATGCACCTGGGAAAACAGTGGGAGACGGCCAGTGCTTGGGCCCTGCATCCGTGTGGGGACATCCCAGTGGAGTGCCAGGATCCTGACTCTGACCTGGACCAGCCCCAGGCATGCGATCACTGGAAAGTCAACCAGTAGAAGAAAGATCTCTCTCCTCAGTAACTTTACAAACAAATTGCTGTAAAATGTTGGGTTTCTTTTTCCTTTTTAAAAAAAATTTTTTAATTTTTACTAGAAAGGCAGATATATAGAGAGGAGGTGAGACAGAGAGGAAGATCTTCAGTCCAATGGGTCACTCCCCAAGTGATCACAACAGCCGGTACTGTGCCAATCTGAACCCAGGAGCCAGGAGCTTCTTCCAGTTCTCCCACGCAGGTGCAGGATCCCAAGGCTTTGGGCCATCCCTGACTGCTTTCCCAGGCCACAGCAGGGAGCTGGATGGGAAGCAGGGCTGCTGGGATTAGAGCTGACATGCATATGGGATCCTGGCACGTGCAAGGCGAGGACTTTAGCTGCTAGGCTACCATGCCAGGCCTAGGACTGGTCATTCTTAATATTATCACAAAGAATAAGGGACAAATATTGAAAATTTCCAAGATTGGGCTTGACACAGTGGCCTAGCGGCTAAAAGTCCTTGCCTTGAACATAGCAGGATCCCATATGGGCACTGGTTCTAATCACAGCAGCTCCACTTCCCATCCAGCTCCCTGCTTGTGGCCTGGGAAAGCAGTGGAGGACGGCCCAAAGCCTTCGGACCCTGCACCCGCATGGGAGACTTGGAAGAGCTCCTGGCTCCTGGCTTCTGATCGGCTCAGCTCCGGCCCTTGCAGTCACTTGGGGAGTGAATCAGCAGATGGAAGATCTTCCTTCCTGTTCTCCTCCTCTCTATATATCTGACTTTACCATAAAAATGAATAAATGTTAAAAAGAAAAAGAGAGAGATTGCCAAGATTACTGGTTCTCTACAGCCCATGAGGCTGAGCACCAGGGAACCCCCTGGCACGATTACATTCACTCTACACTTGATCCTATCCCAAAGGCCTGAGAGAAGTGACCACGTTAACTCAAAGTCCCGGAGTCCAGGAAGGATGTGTGCGCAAGGCTGTGGCGTTCTACACTGCTAGACAACAATAACACAGAAACCATTCAGTCTAAGCCACTGGCCCTCGGAGCAAGGTGCGCTCAGGGGACGGCCCTCTGCAGGCATGGCGCCATCCCACCCCGCCCCGCAGCTCACGCCAATCACACTGATGTAAAGACCGTCAGACACGCGTCCTCTGCCAAGAGTCGCCCTTGGTGTAACCCCCAGTCTGCTAAGCCCTGGGTCTTTGCAGCAGTTAAAGCACTTCCTGGAGCCAGCGTTGTGGCAAAGCCGACTGAGACGCAGCAGCTCAAGTCCCAGCTGCTCCGCCTCTGATCCAGCCCCCGACCAATGCACCTGACACAGAACCTGAGTCCCAGCATCACATGGGAGAATCAGAACAAGCTCCCGGCTCCCGCTTCCACCTTGCCCAGCCCCAGGTATTACAGCCATGGGGAGAGTGAGCCAGTGAATGCAAGGCTTCTCTCTCCTTTTCTCTGTCTGCCTTTCAAATAAGTAAATACAACATAATTGGAAGAAAAAAATGTGCTTCCTGAGGCCAGAGTTGTGCCACATTGGGTTAAGGTACAACCTGGGCCACTTGCACACCTCATTGGAGCACTGGCTCTGTCCCAGCTGCTCCACTTCTAATCCAGCTCCCTGTTGATACACCTGGGAAGCAGAAGAGGCGGGGCCAAGTGCTCGAATCCCTGCCATCCAGGTGGGTGCCACAGATGAAGCTCCTGGCTTTGGCCTGGCCAGCCCCAGCTGCCGAGTCCATCTGGAGAGTAAACCATTGGAAGAAACATCTCCCAACCCTCCATCTTTCTCTGCAGCTCTGCCTTTCAAGTAAGTTAATCAGCGCTACGAAGAAGAGAGCAGCTGCTTCTGAAAGCCCTTATCAACAAAGAGGACAACAGCAATGTAACCCAGCTGCCTCTGCCTGGAGTCCACGTTAAAACCCTGGCCACGGGCCAACTCCGTGTTTTCAATAAAGTTATCTGGGCCCGAGCACTCTGTCTACTGTAACGCAGCACTCGCTAAAAGCTCTGGGCACTGATAAGACAGGAGACCATGAAACCCTTCCTCAACAGCAGCTACATCCACACCCCTGGGCAACTGTGGCCCAGCTCTCCTCCTGAGCTACTAACACAGCGGCTCTGAGGCTGGGCTGCCACGCCCTGCGTTCCGATGGCCCGATCCTCAGCAGCTAGGAGAAAATTCGAAACAGACGAAAAACTAATCAGCCCACTTACATTCTTGACAAAATAGT